GTGGGGGTCCCCACTGGGGTGCCTGGACAGTCTGGGTGAGGGGCTGAGGGCTATTTTCAGGCTGGCGGGTGACTGACGCTCCCAGCCTCTCCTTTTTTTCTTTTTTTTTTATTCTGGGATTTATTTACCTTCTATAATTGAAACATTGTTGCCGTCACTGGCGCTCCCAGCTCTGAGGCCGCGGCCGGCTGAAAGCAGGTATCTGGGTTTGTTTAGCTTCTATAATTGAAACATTGTTGCTTTCGGAGCTTAGAGCAGGCCGCGGCAGGCGGGGAACCTTGGCTTCCTCCATCCCTGGAGCAAGCAAGCCTCCTGCTCGCTTCAGCTGCATGGCTGCAGACCACCATCTTTGTTGGCAGTTAATTTGCATATTACCCTGATTAGCCAATGGGAAGCGTAGCGGAGGTACAGTTAATTACCCTTTTTGTCTTTTATTAGATAGAATAAATACTTCAGTATGTACCTTTGGAGATTGGCTTTCTGATTTAGCCCTTTTTTATTTAATACCCTTGAGATCCATCCAACTTGTGGCATGTATCAATGCAGTTCATTCCTTTTTATTTCTGAGTATTCCATGGTATGGATGCTTGTAGTTCAACTACTTATGTATTGAGGAATTTCTGATAGTTTTCAGGTGGTTTCAGATAGTTTGGGAGCAGGGGGCATCACAAATAAAGATGATATGAAGGCTCATGTGTAAGTTGTGCAGGTATTATCTTTAAGTTCTCCTGGATATATCCCAGGAGTATACCTGCTGGGTTTAATGGCCAGTGTAAGTTTAGTATTTAAAGAAACTGTTAAACTATTTCCCAGAATGACTGTACTATTTTTATATTTATACTAGTAATGTAAGAGAGATCCAGTTTCTTTGCATCATCACCAGCTTTTAGTAATGTTACTATTTTTACTTTGGTGGTTCTAATAAGTGCGTAGAAATTACCTCGTTGTAATCTTAGTTTGTATCTCTCTAATGGCTAATAATGTTGAATATCTTTACATATGTGTATTTTCTATCTGTACATACTCTTCAGTAAACTATTTCATGTCTTTTGCCCATGTTAAATTGGATCATTTTCTTTTTGTTGAGCTTTGAGAATTTAAAAAAATATATATTATAGATATAAATCTTTGCATATATGTGGTTTGCAAGTATTTCTTCCCACTCTGTAGCTTGTCATTTCATCTTCTTAATAGGGTCTTTCACAGAAAATAATTTTAAATTTTGCTGAAGTCTCATTTATTGACCCTCCCCTCCTTACATGGATCTTGCTTTTGGTGTCATGTCTAAGAACTCTTTGATGACCCTAGAAACCAAATATTTTCTCATATGCTTATAGTTTTACAATTTATATTTAAATCTATGATCCATTTTTAATCAATCCTATATAATAAAAGGCTAATATGCAAATTGACTTAAAGGCAAAACGACCGGTTGCTATGATGTGCACTGACCACCAGGGGGCAGATGCTCAACGCAGGAGCTGCCCCCTTGTGGTCAGTGTGCTCTCACAGGGGAAGCGCTGCTCAGCCAGAAGCCAGGCTCAAGGCTGGCAAGTGCAGTGGCGGTGGCAGGAGCCTCTCCCACCTCCATGGCAGTTGGACATCCCCTGAGGGCTCCCAGACTGCAAGAGGGCACAGGCTGGGCTGAGGGACCTTCCCCCAAGTCCACAAATTTTGTGCACCATGCCACTAGTTTTCATATAAGGAGGCAGAGTTAAGTTAAAGTTCTTTTATTTTTGTTGTGCTATGGCTATCCAATTGTTCCAGCAATATTTGTTGAGAAGATTCTCCCTCCTCTATTGAATACCTTTATCAAAAAAATCTGTCAGCTGTACTTTGGTGGATCTTTTTCTGGATTATGTGTCCTGTTCTACGGATCTATGTATCTCTTATTGTGCCAATACCACAATCTTGATTGCTGTAGCTATATAAAGTCAGGCAGTGTGATTCTTCCTACTTTTTCAAAATTGTTATCTCTTCTAGTTCCTTTGTTTTTCCATATACATTTTAGAATAATCTTGTGAGAGTTGGGGCAATTACTGTGTCCCTTGATTCCATACCTTTATGGCATTGTGTGTCTCAGCAAAACAATTTGATTATTAAGTAACCCTTCTTCCTTTTAGAAAGCTCTGGGTAACCTAAAAATCTGTGAGTAACTCCTCTTCTCCCTTCCCATGCAAATTCCTGCTATTATGCTTTAAATTCACCAATGAAAAGTGAACCCCTGAAATTCTAGACACTACTTTGCTCTTTGGCCAAGGTCCATGCTCTATCTCCTATCACTGCACACACAACCTCACTGTGTGACTCTTGGGTATGCAGTGTATCCTCCAGGATCCGTGAGTAAAAAATCTTGTTCTTAAAAGTACCCCAATGTTTTCTTACTGAAATGTACCCTGTGTTCATAATAAGAATCACAAGGTCTGGCCCAGCCACAATGTGGGCCCTGGTGGGAGTGGGGTGGGAAATGTCCATAGGGCTTGCTGAGACTGGCAAATGCTTCAGGCATTGCTAACATCACTATCATCAATAGGCTGGGACAATACAACAAACACTTAGTAGAAGAAAATCTGAGAAAAGTTTCATGACATTGTACTTGGCAATGATTTTTTAAAATATGAGACTAAAGCACAGGCAACAGAAAAAAATTTAAATTGAACTACATCAAATTTTAAAACTCCTGTGCATCAAAGGACACCATCAATAGAGTGAAAAGGCAACCCACAGAATAATAGAAAGTTTTTTAAGATTGTATATCTGAGGAGTAAATGTCCAGAAAATATGAAGACTTTCTACCACTCAACAACAAAAAACATACAACCCAACTAAGAACTGGGCAGAAGACTTGACATTTCTCTAAAGACATACAAATGACCAAGAAGCACATGAAAAGATGCTGAAAGTCACTAATCATTAGGAATATGCTAAGAAAAACTATAATGAGATATTCCTTCACACCATTAATATGGCTACTATTAGAAAAAGCAGAAAATGGATAGTGTTGGAGAGGATGTGGAAAAATTAGTGCACTGTTGTAAACTGCTGCTGCTACTGCTGCTGCTATGGAGACCGCTTGGCAGTTTCCCAGAGGTTAAATATAGAACTATTATATGACCCAGGTATACATATAAAAGAATTGAAAGCAAGTATTTAGATACATATTTGTATACTTAGGTTCATAGCAGCATTATTCACAATAGCTAAAAGGTGGAAGCAATCTACATATCCATTGATGGATGACTGGATAAACACAATTTGGTTATACATACAATGGAGTATTATTCAGCCTTGAAAAGGAAGGAAATTTGGATACACACATACATACAACATGGATGGAATTTGAAGACATTATGCTAAGTTAAATAAGCTAGTTACAGGACAAGTGTTGTATGGTTCCACTTCTGAGGTACTAGAGTAGTCAAATTCATAGAGACAAAGTAGAATGATTATTGCTAGGGACTGCAGGGGAAATGGAGTTATTGTTTAATAGGTATAGAGTTTCAGTTTTACAAGATGAAAAGGGTTCTGTGGGCCTGCCTGGTATGGCTTAGTGGTTAAGCATCGACTCATGAACCAAGAGGTTGCTGACTCAATACCCAGTAGGGGCACATGCCCAGGTTTCGGGCTTGATCCCCAGTGGGAGGCATGTGAGAGGTTCCAGTTGATGTTTCTCTCTCATTGGTGTTCTATCTCTCTCCCTCTCCCTTCTCTCTCTCTCTTAAAAAAAATCAATAGAAACATTTAAAAAATAGAGTTCTGTTGATGGATGGTGATGATGGTAATATAACAATGTGGATATCATGCCCCTGAACTGTATAGTTAAAATGCCTTTGATGATAAAATTTATGTTATGTGTATCTTAGTACAATTTTGAAAAATATTGCTTAAACTTGTTTCAGCAGATCTTCACTGACATAGTGCTGGCAAGGGCATGGGGGTACAGCTTTGTTACTGCTAGGCAGGAGTTAAATTTGCCAGGCAGCCTCCATTGACACTAGGAGGAGGACACTGGGTCTGGGGAAGATGTAAAAAAAGATAATGCTATTATGACCATTGCCCACAAAGCTCTATGGTCTGAAACCTCTCCTGAATATAGTTTTCACAATCTGACCATCTCTTTGGAGCCATGTCATCATCAGATTAAATAATTTATAGATGCCAAAAAAAAGGATTTTCTACTTTTTACAAACTTAGAGTATATTTTGTGAGAGTATGACTAAGTTATAATGGTATGGAATTATTTAAATTTAGTTGATAGATTCATAATTTCTGCTTTATTTAACTTTAGCCTTATATACAGTTTATATGTTCAGGATGCATATGGAAAATGCAGATATTGCATAACTATTTCAGGACACTTTCATTAATTCTCCTCTATTTGGGGAGTTCATAATAGAATGGTTAAAGTCTCTTCTTTTTTATATTTAGAAATTGTAACACTACAGTTATTTATTCACTCAAGTAACATTTAATTCTTACCCCCAATATCCTTGTTTCCTTTTTCATCCTCAGTTGATATCTTGGCATATTTCCACTAGAATACAATAGAAAAATGAGAGGATAAATGTGTTTCTTTTCTGCATGAAATATGGGAACATATTCATAGTAATTATTTTCCTGGGTAAGATACTTAAAATTGAGAGGGAAACTTAATGCTAGAGCTGCTAATTTTTCACTGCTTTTTAGTCTCTTGAGAGATGTTTTTCATCAAACCATCAATATTACTATCTTGAAAAGAATCCAATAATTCTTTTTCAAGTAGTTTTGTTCATTTGCCAAACTTAAATTGGACTGTATTAATTAGTATGTGGTGTGCACTCCCACCCACCAATCCCACTAGAAATTATCCATATCCCACCTTCACAGGGTCAGGAAAATTGGACTTTTGCTTGCTATGGCTTATTGTCTTACTCCATGTTATTTCCTTCCAAATTAAAGTCTGATGCAGGGGTACCTGACTGGCAGGACCCAAATCCCATGCCCACATCAGCTGCAGAGGAAGCTGAAAAATATTCTCCTTAGGGAAGGTGTCAATAGATAAGACAAATGAAACTCACAAATAGCTATCATTAAAATTTTGGATAATCTTTGGGATTTTTGTATAACTCATATCAGTCCTCCTAGACTCCATATTTAATATCCATAAGAATTTTTCTTTGAGCCTAGCTGACTAGAACAAAGGTGGGCATCTAACTTAAGCTTGACCTATAATCTACTCTTCCTCGAGCTATTTGGGCTGGTCTCTTGATATGGAGATCTAAAACTTTAGGAGCAATGGTATTATTATGGTCTACCCTAATAGAGTTGTAGAGAAGGTGATTTTTGAGAATGAGAAGAATCAAGAGAACACCTGAAGAAAAACAGAGACAAGAAGAAATAGAACTTTCCAAGTTTCTGATGGTTTTCAATTTTCTAGTTCTAACTTCTTTTGGAAATGTGGCTAACTTCTTGCCCTTACATTATGTAAACATAACTGTTCATGTATTACAGTACTATATCTTCATTTTACTAAAACTAGAAAGATATAGTTTTTTTTTCTTGCAACCAAAATGTTTTGTTGTGTGTGGTTTTTTTAATCACCTTGTCTTCTAACTTTTCTCACATGACTTTGGCAATCTACTCTCCAAAATTGCAATGTCTGATGGGTCTTCTTTTTTTCTTCAACCTCTTATCCAGAACCATACCTGAAGTCTGTAACCTTGTCTTCAGATTCTTCACTTACAAACTTTCCTTCCATTTACATAAACCACAAACTCTTAGGGTCTGAGTTGCCCCTGAGATGGCCTACTGATGCTTGAAAGTGAGAAAATGTAGAAAGATATAGTGGAAAGTAAAACTTGAGTTCACATTTGCCCTTACCAGTTACTATGTGGCCTTGCCTATATCCTTTATTCTTTCAAAGGCTGTGTCCTCAGCAACAAAAAGCCTGCAGGAGGGAGGCCGATGGGAGAAACTGGTTCAAAATGGAATAAAAAACCAGTGTTGGGAGCGCCCCGCCCTCAGGATGGTCCTTACCAACTACAGGTCTCTACATATGCGTGATCACAGGGCTACAGGGCATGATCTAACAGGTGGCGCCCTTACTTCAGGACCTTTTTGCTCCAGGAGTCCTGGCAGCAGTACTTGCTGAGTTGGCCCTGGCTGTTTCCTCAGTGATGGTGACCCTCATCCCTCCCACGGTTCCAACGCCCACGGTTGTGGCTCAAGAGAAGGGCTTGGAGGGCGGGAGTGGGGGTGGGGGTGGGCCCTTGCGCTCGAGGGCTCCTGTGCGCTCGAGGACACTCGCGCCTGCACCTCTGTGGTGGAGGCCTCAGAGCTCTGCTGCGTCTGTAGGCTCCCAGGACCAGGACAGGAATGATTTGTGGGGGAGACAGCTGACACAGAGTTGGGTATACATGGGTGGGCAAAAGTAGGTTTTACATTCGTTGGTATGGAACAGACATGCAGATTATTACAATAGTTTGATTAACTCAAGAGAGTGTCACAATGGTACAATATTGTACCTAAGTGCATTGTGCCATTGTGCCATTCTTTTGAATTAATAAAGCTATTCAAATTATCTATTTTATATGAGCGAGTTGTGGTAGCTTGTCCTTTTCAAGGAGTTGGTCCATTTCATGTAAGTTGTCAAAATTTTGCATGTAGAGTTGTTTGTAATGTTTCCTTATTGTCCTTTCGATGTCTGCGGGGTCTATAGTAATATCTCTTGTTTTAAAACTTATGTTAGTAAAGTGTTTCTTCCGGCAGTCTTGGTAAAATTTTGTCAGTCCACTTCATTTTTTTTTTCCAAAAACCAGCTTTTTGTTTCATTTTCTTTTCAGTTTCATTGATTTCTTTTTAAGTTTTGCTTCATATTTGTTTTGCTCTTTTTCTAGATGCTTAAAGTCAGAGCTTAAATTACTGATGTAAGGTTTTTTCTGTTTTCTAATATAAGCATTAAATGGTATAAATCTCACTTAGCTGTTTTACAAAATTTGATATGTTGCATTTTTATTATCATGTAGTTCAATACATTAAAAAAAAATTCCCCTTGAACTTCCTCTTTGACCTATGGATTACTTAGAAGTATGGTGTTTAATTCCTCCCCTTTCCTCTGAAAAGTTACCCCTATCTTGACTTCCAACAGGAATTTTACTTGTTTTTGACATTTAAGGAAGTTGAATCCTGAAATATGTAATACTTGGTGTTTGATATTTTTGCTCAACATTAAATTCGTGAATCCATTCTACTATTGATGAGCATTTGGATTTGAAAATTTAGATTTTTCTCCTGTTGGGGTTTGGAATACTGATTTTGTGACTATTCTACAAATATTCTTTTATTTTGTTGAACATATGCACTAATTTTTTAGGCTATAAACCTAAGAATAGAGTTTCTTGTATAGCATATTCTCAAACTATCATTCAAAGTTGTTTTATAAAACAACTATTATAAATTAGGGCTGTTATGAATTAGTTCTTTACTGCTTTCCAGACAAAGCAAGGACCCTAAAACACTATAACTTCACCTGCCCTGTGCTATTTCGGTTCTTTTTACATATTTTAGTATGCCTAGGAATTATTGTCATTAAATTTGTGAAATCCATTCTACTCAGAAACTTGTCTTTGTTCATTTTACCTTTTTTTCATGCTTCTTCAAGTTTCCATTTGGGATCATTTCTTTTTTTTTCTGAAGAACACTTACTAAAATTTCATTTCATTTCATTATTGATAAGCTTTGGCTTTTATTGTTTTTCTCAACAAGTTAGCTGTTCTTTTTATTGTTGTTCTTTGAAACGAAAATGTCTTTTCTCCTTGTCTACCTTTAAGACTTTTCTTGTAGCTGGTTTTATACAGTTTTATTATGATGTATTTAGATGTGAATTTCCTTGTATTTAGTTTAGGATTGTAACCCTTCTTGAATCTATAATGTCATTTTTTTATCAAGTTGGGAAAATTCCCATGTACAATATCTTCTAATATTACTTATTTGCTTTTATCTCTATTCTCTTTTGAAATTTCAAATATATGGTATTGGAACTTTTCATCAATACAATATGTCTCTTACTCTCTGTCCACCTTCTGCATTGCATTTTCTATCATTTAGTCAATGCTTCAGTCTGATTTCCCCTTCTTTTTCTTCTAGATCATTGATTTTTCTCACCACTTATGCTTAATTGCTGTTACATTTATATATTTAGATCTTAATTTCAGTCACTGTTATTTCTCATGTCCATTTGATTTTTATGATTTTTATTTCTCTGCTAAAATCTTGTTAAGATTTTATCATTTTGTTATGGTATCTATCATGAACCTGTGTTTTGGTTTTGGTTTTGGTTTTTGAATTTCAGTTCTTTCTTGTTTAACTTTTATTGACTCCCAGATATTCTGTATAAAGATGGTATTGATAACTTGATACTTGGGATAATGTTATCTTCCCCTTGAAATGATTTATTTTGCTTTGGTAGAATGTTAGGTTTGGGGAAGCTCACTTTAATACAACCTGTAACTGAGCTGATTTGGATCTGAACATCAGTCTATGAGAGTGATGGCCCAATTTTGCTTACCTTTACTAATATCCCTTCTAAGAATCACAACTGAAAGTCCTAGGTATTTAAGAGGGTCTTGCTGCTTGGTGAGCCTGAGCTCTAGTTATTGTCTTACAACCCTATAAGAATACCAGAAACTCATCTCAGATTTTTAACCTCTCATCTGTGGTTTGTGTTCAGAAAATGTATCTAGGGGAAAATCTATATCAAAGGCTGGATCATCTCTTGTTTTCAACTCTTTTTCTTGGCTTCTTAAATCCTAGCTCCCCTAAATTCTAGATCTTCAATATCTTCTAATACAGGGGTGGGCAAACTTTTTGACTCGAGGGCCACAATGGGTTCTTAAACTGGACCGGAGGGCCGGAACAAAAGCATGGATGGAGTGTTTGTGTGAACTAATATAAATTCAAAGTAAACATCATTACATAAAAGAGTACGGTCTTTTTTTTTTTAGTTTTATTCATTTCAAATGGGCCGGATCCGGCCCGCGGGCCGTAGTTTGCCCACAGCTGTTCTAATAGATGGTGTTTTAAAATTTTTTGTTGCTTTTGTTGTGTTCTTTGTAGGAAATTTGGGCTGTAATAACCTAATTCTTAGTTTCTGAAAATGGAAACCACCTAATATTTTAATTATCATAAAATCAATCTCTCTGTATATAGCTCACATTTCTCCAACCCCCAGATATGTATTTTGAACTGCCTAATAGACATCTCAACTTTAATTTCTTGTAGTTATCTCAAACTCAACCTATTCAAAACAGAATTTATTATTTTATTCAATCCCACTGTGTCTTCTACATTTTGTATCACTGCAGGCAAAACCCAAACCAGAAACTGGGTTGTTTTAGATTTTTTTCCTTCATTCCTTATGTTTAGTCAGTCAACAAAGCTAAAACTTACCTCTCTTTTTTACTGCTTATCTGAATCATTGCAATAGTTATCCATTACTCTCTTCCATAGTCTAGTTGTTATTAAATTTATCCTTCCTAATACATTTACCCCTATTTA